ATTACAAGTCACACATATCATTAATATGATTTGATTACATTACCTCTAAGCATCTCTAATGTGTAAGGTAATTAATTAATTAATTTTAGCTATCTAAAAATAAAGGATCTAGTCTAAGTAGTCATCTCAGCTTCTTCTGAACTCCCAGAAACTACAGAAGAGACAAAAGTCACCTTCCAAGAACTCACCCAACCTGCTCCAGACACCAGTGAAAACATGGGAATAATGATCACCTGTCTCCTTCCACCAAACCAAGGCAGCCCAGACAACAGYTTGATTATCCATCTAATATTTAGATGAGTATTACCAGGTCATACAAATCCTCTTCCAAGCAAAACAGAACTCCATAGCCTCTCAGCTTTTAGGCTGCAGAGTAACTTCAAACATATTATTTCCCACCAACATCAGAGAATCATGGCAGACTATATAAGAGAGGAGAGATAGAGACAGTAAGTAATGGAAGCTGAAACCAAGATTTCAGGTGAGAGAAGTTCAGGGTTTAGAAGTCAAGAAATCYAAGTGGTGTAATACAACAGTTCACAGTTAAAACAGTGATCCTCCACCTCTACTCTACCTAGTGAGGCCGTAYCTGGAGCCCTGTGCTCAGTTCTGGTCTCAGTTTGAGAAAGACAAAGAGCTCCTGGAGAGGGTCCAGTGGAGGCCACAAAGRTGGTCAGGAGTCTGGAGCATCCCTCCTATGAGGAGAGATGGGGGAGCTGGGCCTGTTTAGTCTGGAGAAGACTGAGAGGGGATCCTTTTGGTGGTGCTCAATGACAGAATGAGGAGARAAGGCCATGAACTAAAACACAACAARTTTCGCCACAACATGAGGAAGAACTTCTTACACTGAGGGTGGCAGAGCACTGGAACAGCTGCCCAGGGAGACCATGGAGTGTCACTCTCTGGARACATTCCCAACCCACCTGGACACRTTCCTGTGCCACCTGCTCCAGGTGACTGACTGGGCAGGGGGTTGGACTGGGTGATCTCCAGAGGTTCTTTCCAACCCTTCCACTATTCTGTGACTCTGTGATCCTTGGATATTGCTACTAAAATTCCTCTGTCAGAGGAACACACAGACAAAATTCTGTTATTTCATCATATACCTTATAATAAAAGAAGTTTAAACACTGGCATTATACCAGAAAGAGTTAATAGGAGCRTTGGGCAATTCAGCGTGCAGAGATTACAGCAGGCTTGAACAGAGTATGGCCATTACGATGGAAGCTGATTCCAAAGTGCAGTTAAATTGCCATGTGATCCCAGTAGCGACTGCAGTCCCATTTTCTCTTTTTATGGGAAATGATGTCATTGGGAAAAGCTTCATTGGGCTAAGAGTGGAATTTTCTAAATTGAGTTTTAATGAATAGATTGGACAAAGTCATCCTCCTGCCTGCAATAACTGAGTGTGCATAGGTGGCAAAAAGCTGTTTATTTGCATACATCGATTTCTATTTTATTTTAGAAATACTGTTGGCAATTAATCCATCTAAAGGCTTTTTTAAAGCTGTAACAGGAAACAGAATTAAAATTGTCCAAAAATAATATTCTCTAAAAATAGGCTGGGGAGAAGCACATCATAATTTTAAACATAACTATAATGCTAAAAGAATTTTGTTCCAAACAGTGAAATATGATCCTTCTCAATAACTCATTAATGATTTATGAAACAGTGTTGATTTTCACAATGATTCTTGTTACTGTGGTGCTAATGAGTGTGGTGACTACAAGTCCCAAATATCTGTGCCACAAATTGAAGTACAGCTAAAGAGAAAATAAGGAGTTGTACACTGGGAGATGCAGTCTCATCAGCTACAAATACATTTAGTAGATGGATGTTATACCCAGTGTTTTATCCTAATTGAAAGAAATGCTTTAATTTCTTGTAAATATTTATTACCACTGTCAATGCAGCAGGTGAAGAAAATCTAGGGAACTAAATAAAAGTTATGCTTTAAGAAAATATTGTGGTAATTTGACTTAGTCCAATTTTCCCTGAAAAATGTATAAAGAGCAAATGAGAGCAGCAAACTCTCTGCTGTCATTACATTATTGCAGTTTAAAATGAGGGCATCACCAAGAAGGCACAGGGCCATGTTTTAGTCACTTTTATTTAAAAAAAAAATAACAAAACTCAAACCACAGATGTAGGTAAT